AAAAAAAAAAAAAGAAAAAAAAAGAAATAAGAAAAAAAATACTTTCCCGCGGTTGGAGAGAGAGAGGGAGATCTACTGTAGAATTCACACGCGTGTAGAACGAGAACGAAAACTCGAATTAATTTCGATTAGTATTAATGAAAACAAGAGAAAAGAAAGAAAAAAAAGATGAAAGGACGTACTTATGCGTTAATGAGCTTTGAGGACGATACGGAGGACGAACGAACCCGGGGACACTGAACAACAGAGCAGACCAAATCGCGGAAGAGTACGGAAGAGAGTAGCCGAGAGAAAGCGGAAACCGGCGGAGAAAGGTGAAGTGAAAGGGGGGAAGAGATGGTGAAAAGAGGGGAAAGGAAGTCAGGGGAAACACGAGGGAGCGAGAAGACACGATATCATGGCACGGTCGATGGTGGTAGGAAACGTTGTTGGGTTTGCGCGGGCGCAGACCGTAAATATACGATGTAAGCGCGACTCACGTGATCGCCAACGCGTTTGATACATGTATGAACGTGGTTTAAATGTGGAGAATGTAGACGTATCGACACGGATGACGAGCAATGTCAGCAGCGTGAGCTGTTCCGAAAGAAAGTCCTATCTTTTCCTTACCGCGGGAAGGGGAGAGCGGTTATTTTTTTTCTTTGACACACTTAGCTTTGGCACACTCTTGTGTAGCAGGTACCCCCGATTTAAAAAAGTGGAATACCAACGTCGATAATTTGCCTCTGCGTTTCTCCCAGCTTACGTTGCTATTACTTCAACGGTCCAATCAAGAAAATCATGCACACTTAGCGTACGAATGTTCATCTGGATGCATAATACGAATAATTCAATTTTGCTTTCCTTTATTTTGTCATCTACAAGTACAGTTTCTACATCTCTTCTTTTTTTTTTTTTTTGTTTTCATATTTTATGTTTTTCCTCATTTTCATTGTTGCTCCCATTTCGTTGGGATATACATTTATCCAATTTCAAGTAGGTTAACGTATTCGTCGTCGATGAACGATGAACTTGAAAGTTGGAAGCGTTTCACGAGCTTCGACGAGTTTCGATCGAGGTTGTGCCTTTCATTTACGTCTCAATTAACATACCGATAACATTGTGCACTTTTATAGACATCTGACCGAATGGTGTTACGCTTAATGTACTACATGCATGTGGCTTGAATTCCACCTTAGTGTGTGTAATAAATAAATGTAATCGTCCGCACGCGTCAGTGCCCTTTTGTACATGAATAGAATAGTAAATTGAATAGAATAGAATAGTACATGAATAGAATAGTAAATTGAAAATAATATGTAAATTCGGAAAAAAAATGACAAAACGAATATTTGGGATGATGCAAGATGATTATTCAAGTGCGTAAGTCGGTAGCGTTAATTAACTGCTCAGATATGTCAGGAATTATGCGTTTCATTCCTGTTTTAACGACACGTCGACCAATCAACATTGTAACGTTACGATGTGCTTGGTGCATAGTTTGTAGGTGAAACCGTCTCCAAAGCAAAGCCTTCGTATCAAAAGATCTTGTCCAATCTTGCCATTCTCCGCGAGTGATCTCCTCGCTTTCCATTTCCAATAGCTTCTCGATTACGCTTCGTAACCATATATTCCAATCTTTAGCCACGTCGCTGATGTACTCGAGCCATCTGGTCCAATCTCTAATTTCCTTAGACTCCACTTCTGGCATATGTTTTTCCATAAATGCAATCTGTGATTTGCTTAGTATCGATCTTAACCAATTGGCGATCTTCCCGCACACTATGTTCATGATAATCTTCAACTCTTCCGTTAAAAGATCTGGATTTTCCAGTCTCACTATATTGCTTAATTTTTCGTAAATTGCACGATGTATACCATTTGTTATTGGATCTTCACCCGTATTTTCTGGCATACATTCGATCATTTTATAGATAGTATCGATAATCTTGTCGAACGTAAGAAAAGGAAGATCGGTTTTAAACAAATCATTTTCTAAACCTTCGATATCTATATCTTTGGATAATTTCATTTCAACTGGAGGTACTATTCCTTTCTCATCTAAGATTTCTTCGATTTTATCTTCAACTTCCCCATTTTCTTGTTCCTTTTCTATCTCTGCTTCTGGTTCTACTTGTGGTTCTACTTCTAGTTTTGCTTCTGGTTCCGGTAGTTTTAGTTCTGGTTCTGGTTTTACTTCTGCTTCTACTTCTGCTTCTGGTTCAGGTTCGATTCTGAGTTCTGATTCAGGTTCAACTTCAACTTTAGGTTCTGGTTCTGGTTCGGCTTTGATTTCTAGTTCAGGTTCGACTTTGGATTCTGGTTGAAATTCGTTTTTGGGTTCTGGTTCAGATTCGACTTTGGATTCTAGTTCTGGTTCTGGGTTTGATCCTGATTCTGGTCCTGGGTTTAATTCTGGTCCTGGGTTTAATTCTGGTCCTGGGTT